ATTTTCTTTAGATGATATTGAAGATTTTCTTTGGCGACCTAATTCCGATAATATAATATCTGTTGGTCGTGATGAACGTCTTATTCATGCTCATATATCAAGTGCAATTCAAAGTGAACAAATTGTTTCAATTTTTTCTTTAAATGTTACATCAAATGGTTCTGTACATGTTTCAATGCCAAATATTGATAATGATTATGTACATTCATTATATAATGAACGACACATTCCACTATCATCATCAAATCTACGAATATTATATTCTCAAGAAACAATGTCAACATTTTTAAAATGGGATAAAACAATTAAAGGAGAAAGTATTGTTGGTATTTATTCCGATACATCACATGATAATTCAGTTCAATTATTTTATCAATTTGCTCGACGATGGATATTTGGTAATGGTGATAAATCATTAAAAGCATTAGCAAATATTTGTGATATTAATAGTATTGTTGCTGAAGATTTAAATCGACCAGATTTAAAAGCAACATGGCAAGTTATTAAAATGTTATATGTTGATTATCATACTTTACCAAATTATCGAGCATATTCATCTAAAACTTCACGATCAATGACTATAAGTCATTGTATTAGTGATCCAATAAGTAGTCATCGTCATCATCAACCTGGAAGAAAATTAACCAATATTGATAAACAACGACAAGATAATAGATTAAATGATGAATTAATTGATGAAAAGAAAATTAAATCACAAGAACAAAGAATTTTAGCGGATTCTAAATTAGGTAAGAAAATAAATAGTTAACAATCTCGAACATTGAAAGAGCAGAAAATATTATCTGCTTTTTAATGATTTATTTATCAAAAGTTTAGTTCTTTGTAAATTATGATTAAATTTTGAATCAATTTCATAATGAGATTCTAACATTACACAATAAAACAAAAATGATAATTTCTACAAAGTATTCTAATTATCTATTAAATTTAGTGTCCTACGGGACAAACTGTTTTCGAATCTCAAAGGTATCGTGGGATTGAACATTCCGGATTTTTTTTTTTGCATTCGAAACTGTCCCTTAGGACACTAATTAAAATAAAACATAGTGCAAAATCGTTATCATTATTTCTATTTATGTGAAAATTACTTTGTTCTCTTTTTGTAGAAATGATCGACGATACAGAGACATACATTGTTCGAGATGTTCTCACGGATGATATCATCTTTCTCACACCTGAGGATGAATTGAATAATGGCCATGCTAATGATACTACATATGACAATGATGTAAACTTTAAAGGGTTTTTTTAACCTATAATCTCTAAACATATTGTTTTTTTTTTTTTTAAATATTAGATCGATATTGAATTAAGGCGAAACTCAGTGCCTATGTCACTCGTATTCAATGAAACATCTTCATTAATAAATACAGATGGAGATTGTGATAGTTTTTCAGTGAACCGATTAACTCGTCTTTTGACTGAAGTAGTCATACTTGATGATGATGATGATGATGATGAAATGGGACATAAAAATCAATATAATAGGTTAGTTACCTGTTTTCCTTTTGTTTTTAACAAAAAAAGAGTTTGATGGTATTGTTTTGTCATCGAGAAATATAATGCAGTTTTGATATGTATAACACTAAAGTAGTTGTTTATCAATAGTAGGTGAAAATAAAAATAAAAACTTCGATTAGTACAATTCATTTCTTAGCTAACAAGGAAATATTTAATTTATTGAATGTATATTGAACGTTAAAGACTAAACCGATTTTATTGCCGTTCCTGTAAAGTATTGTTACTCTTTGAACATTCAATATCTCATATTAAATAAATTCATTGAAGGTAAAATTTTTAAAAAAATTGTTCAAGTAATTTTGAATTTTATCTTTGACTAATCTCATTGAATTTCACTTATGAGACACATAGAAGATCAATCAGCATCTATCAACTTAGGATATTCCTTTGTAATATTTAATGGATTCATTCAATTTTAGTGAGATTTTTGTTTAGTTCTACTGGTAATATGCAAACATCTGTACATTCAACTGTACCTGATGATTCCGAAAATTTTTTTACAATTGATGAAAGTTATTGTCCTACAATGCAAAAACATTCATTAAATTTTGATGATATTATTCGACAAACACTCTGGTATTACATAGAAAATGTAAGTCAATGTTAAATATTATAACATTGAAATATTTCTATTTTACATAGAATGAACTTCAAGTAGCTGTTCATCTCCTTTTGGCATTGTATCCCCAACTAAATGAACGTAAACGTATTGAATTATTCAATGGAGTACATTTACAATGGCTTCTTATGTATATTGGTATATACTAGGTTTTTTCCTATTAATATCAATAATGTTTTTATTTTTTTTTTTTTGTAGAATTATTACAAAAAATGCGTTTATTTGTAAAAGCTAAACAAGTGACAAAACATTGTATAGAAAATGAAGGAATTCCTCTTAGTTATAATACAACTGAATTTGACGGTAGTCTTATTTTTACTGTACAAGCTCCAACATTGAAACGTTTTCCAATAATGGCTTCTCCTACGACATCTTGTACAAGCAAAAATCCTCCGTGTATAGTTAAAGAATTTATGTGTTCTATTTGGTTAGTTTATGTTTAGTTTGATTATTAAAAATCAAAAGAAAAAGAAAAATAATTTCTTAATAATTATAATTGTGAATATTTTTTTTTTTTAGTCGAATACCATGTCGTGGTCTATTTTCATTTTGTGGTGTTTGTTCTCATGGTGGCCATATTGATCATATTCAAACATGGTTTAAAATACATGATGAATGTCCATATGGTTGTGGTCATCGATGCCAATATTTTGACTATCACAATCGTCGTAGTTGTGTATCTTAGGACTTTTTTTTGTCTCTAAAAAATTGTTTTGTCTTTCAAGAATGATTGAAAGTGAGAAAGAGAAAGTTTTCCTTGCTTTACTTTTGAAGCTCAGGCATTGTAAGGTTTTTCTTTAGTGAATCAATCTATTTTGCTTTTAGTGTATTTTCGGTGAAATTTTTTCCTAAATAAAAATATAATTTTCGTGTGATATTATAAGATTAGAGAAAATTTCATTGTTTTTTTTTTAACAAGAAATGATAATAGATTATGTCTTGTACATCGTTTTCGACTGAATAAGACACTATAAGTGGTATTTTGTTTTTTTAAGTAAGACAGTTAAAATGAGTAGATTTATATTCTATAATATATTCGAATATCAATAGTGGCTTCATTTTTTTTTTGGTATACTTGTAAGTTAGCATATAATTCGATTTTACGAGCATAGAAAGACGAAAAATAGAGAAGAAAAAAATGTGATACCGATTGAAGTGAAATCTCTTTATTGAATTTGAAGATTTATATATGCTATTTATTGGGCATTTAATTTTATGAGAATAAGAAGAATTTTTCTATTTTCGTTTTTAAATGTGTACATGAATATCGAGTAGTAAAATTAATAAGATCCGAGCGTCGTTGAAAAAAGACAAAAAGTACTGCTATTTTGGAATTATTGTCTATTTGTAGTTTATACAGTTCTGTATCTATTGACATTATGATTTTAATTGATGAAACATTTATGTAATATAACAACAATTCGTTTAGATTTGGTTGAATAATACATCGATACAAATTCAAAAACTTGAACATCGTTCACTAATAAAGTTTTTTTGTTTTGGAAGTTCAGTCATGATTCAACATCTCTGAGCATATGACAGCAATATCAGGTGGCATTGCTTCATCACGCATCAACTATTTGAACGGGTTCGTCGCTTTTAAGATGGACAATTAAAGATCGATGAGAATCCTAAGGTGAATTGACCAATGACTTCCACGGGCGAGACAACTGTTAAAGTAATTGATAGTCTAATCATCGAAGTCGGTCTTATCACAATTTGGCAAATATCCGTCATTAAACATTTCATCTAGCACTGTACATTTTATTTTGCATAATCAGTTACAAATGACTAAGGTCTACTCAAGATAAACTCCACATTAATTAATAGCAGATCAACGAGACGAACGTGTGGAAGCATGTCTAGAACTTTTGATTTGCTATTCTACTGAATGAAACGACTTTCTTTTTCGAATTATAATTGGTAATGAATCGTGGGTTTATTATTATAAACCTGAATTGAAACAATCATTACTTCATTGGAAACGAGCTGATTCGCCAACAACAACAAAACTGAGAGAAGAAACGTTTGTTGGCAAAGTTTTATATATTTTTTTTTCTGGGATCATAAAGCATTCTGTGTATCTGAAATCTATCAAGTATCAATTTCTTTTCAATCAATTTACAAATATCTCAAAATGAGATTCTCTATTCAAATACGACTTCTCCCCTGGTTCATAGCATGAATAATCTTTGAATATAAGATAGTTTGCATTCAAATCAGAGCATTAATCAATATTAAAGCTTTCCTAATTATGGTTTCAATGAATTAAGCTTTTGAGAAGGTAAAAAAAATAATGAAGTGCTTGCATTGAAAAATTTCTCAATTTGGTGATTATTGAAGCTCGTGAAACGTTATATTAGAACAATGATGTTTTATCAAACAAGATTTCTTAATCGTCTTGAAACAAATATATACTTTATATTTACGAGCCTAAACAAGGTAAAAAGATGAAAAAAAAAATTCTAAGGCTTATGAATCACCAAGGTGTTTAATGCCATTTTTGCCACCTTTCTTCGCGGAATATTCAAGCTCAAAGTCTTTTTTATGACAAAGTAATACAGTCATGTGTTGCACAAAGCAAAGCCGTAATTTTTTTTCTTCCTTTCCTTGTCAAGAAAAATATTCTGTCTTTCACTCAAATAAAATGAAACGTGAGGCATGCTACACAGAAGCTCCTTACAGTCGACGTTATTACCTTATTTTCCTCGTTTTTTCGATGTGCATAAACCGTAATTGGTGAATAAAAAACCTAATTTTTTTTGCTATTTATTAGGTATAGTGATTTGTTTTTCCTGTAGATGAGCAAATATCATTAAATACGTACACACAACGCAAAATGTTTGTCGTTCCCAATACGGATATTTTGAAGTGCCCCATTACCTGTGAATTATTTCGTGAACCAGTTACTGGTCAAGATGGTCATACATATGAACGAAATGCCATTATAACATGGCTTAAAAAAAATGGTACAAGTCCAATCACACGTGAACCAATGACTATCGATTCATTACGATCAAATCATACTGTTAAACAATTAATTGATGAATTCAAATCATCATCATCACAAAAACATTTTTTATTCAAATACGGTACCGATATTAGAAAAGCAGAAAAACGAGCTATCTTTCAAGCACCTGGTAAAAGTATTTATCGAGCCGAATGGATATCAAAACATGGTCCTGCTATTGTTCTACTTAAAATCGACGGAGCTAAAGCAAGTCGAGAAGCATCATATTATGTTCAACTTGGTTGTCATCCTCATATTGTACATACATATGGTATGGCTGAAAATGATACTAATTCTCTTATGCTTGTACAAGAATATGCAACTGAAGGTGACCTTGCAGAACTTTTAAAAGAAAATGAATTTCGACCATCACAATCAGTTTTATTAGAAATATTTTTACAAATTATTGATGCAATGGCTTATCTTGCCGAGTATGGTATTGTACATGGTGACTTGGCTTGTCGCAATGTTCTTGTTTTTCGATTCAATGATGCCGATCCTCAACAGAACTTAGTCAAATTGACAGATTTTGGTTTAACACGTGCCAGTACATTGTATTCTGTTGTTGGTAGTACAGCAGCAACAACACTGGCAGTCGTTCCTTTGAGATATGCAGCACCTGAAATTCTTCAAAGTGCAGGTCTTTCAAATTATTCGGAAAAATCAGATGTATATTCAATGGCCATTTTGATGTGGGAAGCTTGTTCACAAGGACAATTACCTTATGCATCAATTGAAGATGATAATGAAGTTCATCGACGCAAACTCAAAGGAGAAATCTTAAGTCAACCTGAGAATTGTGATGAAGCATTATGGAATATAATTGTTCGTTGTTGGCATCAAAAATCAGAAGATCGTCCAACATTTAAAGCGCTGAAACAATCATTGTTGGAATCACAAGTACGATCCGCAGCTAGGTATACTTTCTGAGTGCTTCAATCTTGTTTACTTTATTCATCAGCATTAATTATTAATATTTAGTTTTAATGACGTTCAAAAGAATAGCATGCAAAATGAAAAGGTACGTTGAATCAAAATCATTTTTTTTTCTGGAAAGGAATAGTAGTGACATTAAAGACTGAATATCCTTCAAGCTCCTAAGTGAATAATTGTATTGATAACGATGTTAAATAATCAGAGTTAGGACACTAAAAACAAAATATTTCAAAAATAGTTCATCATCTTGAATGTTCGATTAGATGATTTTTCAGGACTTCCTCGAAAACTTAGTTAAGTACTAGCACAGAAAATATTAAAGATACAGTATGTATGTGGTCCCTTGTGTTTGTGTAATATCTCCTACATCTGCGTAACTATTATCTCTTCTATGTTGGTACTCACTTGAATTTTCAGAGATACCCATAGAAGATATCAGTAACATTTTGATATAAATTTAATTTTGTGATAGAATAGATCGAATGAATTATGTTTTTCTATGTTATACAATACATCTAATATACTTAGATTTCAGCCTTTTTGAGAAAATCTGGAAAGAACTTAATCTATAATAAAAACACAAAAGAACAATTGCTGCTCTTATACTCAATTGACAAGAATATTTTCCTTAGAATATAAGACATTCTATCTTTCACTGTCTGTAAATAGAATGTGAAAATTGTGTTTTGATTATTTGATGAACATGTACCGTCAGAAATGTCTTCTATTTTTTTTTGTAGACGGATATAGTTCGCAATACAATCGAAAGTCACAGGCAACCACAAAGCCAAACTTTGTCTTCCTGTCAATCAAATGCACTTCCCAGAATAGATACATCTGCAGACCAGTCTTCGTTGAACAAAAATCCTTCGACGACTACGATTACATGCGAATTTTGCAATAGTCACTTACCCGAGCTCGGAAGATATATTCATGATCAGGTGAGTGCCGTCGTATGCTAATATGAAATAATTTCAAAGATAAAGAATATCCTTTTGAGAACTTATGAACTTAAATCAAGAAGACGAAAGACGAGATCCCAACGAAATAGTGACAGATAGTAAAAATCTTATAGTTTACCACTTTTTGCGATTACTATAGTAATCTAGAAAATCATGTTTATTTCGAAAAAAAGATGCGGCACATAATATGTGTGTAATAAGTATGCAACATTATCTCAGTGACTACGTAGCAATAACTTTCCAATTAAGAAAAACGTTGCCATTTATACAGCAAAATATACAAATATAGGATAGTCAAAACGTTTTTTTGCACTGTTTAGTATTTTTACATACGAAAAAAGTACTGCTGATTTGTTTCCAGTAAATATTCATAGTTGTTCTCATAATGTTCAAAATAAGATTTCATCTTTTGAATCCATTTTTGATATCAAGTTCGTCTTTTTAAGCAACTAAACAACCGAATATCTCAAGGAGTAAGATCAGGAGATTATGGTGAATGAGTCATAATTTTGATTTTTTCTTCTTCAAATTAATTAAAAACAATGTTGTTTATAGATGCTCATGCATCGTCATGATGCAACTTAATGCCATTTGTTGTTGACGATAGTTTTTTATGCAAATTTTTCAGTGATCTTTTTAAACACTCATCACGATAAAATATAGTATTTATTGACGTTTCAGTAAGTAATTTATCAAAAATCAGTGTTGTCCTTACATGAAAAACATTACAAACATTGTTTTTCTTATAATAATTGCCTTCTCAATACTGTTGAACGACTGTCTTCTTTTATTAACTATTATTTATATTGCTCTTATGTTTATATTCAACACTTGATAAATTCAAGTGTTGCTTAAGAATAGCATCTACACTATCATGGGACATGTCTAAGCTAGTGGCAATATAATCTATGCTTATAAATGGATCATCATTTAAAAGATCTTTGATAGCATTAATATTGTATCTAACGAACAATTCAGCTATACGAAACATAATCTTGTTATAAGCGATAATTAATTCGTCATGAAATTGTATTGAAGTAAAATCTGACAACAAACCAATTTTTACCTATAAGTATGTTAACTGTTTTTCTATCTGAAAATAGAAGTGGTCAAAACAAATATTGAGCTTTTGTTATGACAGATAAAGATTTGTGGAGTCTTGTTTTGGTAGTTTAATTCATAGTAGATGTCTCTATTAGAAGAAGTCAACATCTCGAAAGAAAACAATGACGATGGAATTTTAGACAGCTGCTCCAAGAACGTTTTGACTACCCTAAGTAGCTGTCGTTGCCAAATCAACTGTATAAAGTAAGCAAAAATGAGGTGACATTATTCGTACAAATATCAATGTTTTCTTCGTACCTTTTATATCAAATATGTAACACTGTTTAGTTTAGCACAAGGTGTTATTCAATTGACTATCGTCAGTTGCTCTTTGATGAAATTCTCAACATGACTAAAACTATTCGATAAATTCTAGGATTTGTTTGTTTCAAACAAATTTCAACTTCACTACTGAAAATAAATTTTTCGATTACCTAAGAATTCTGGTACTCTTTCCTTCTCACACATGATGCGATTAAAACGATAATAAATTGAGACTATTTCTTAAAGAGTTTTGATGAATATCACAATTTTCTTCATAACAATTCTTGACAAACCAGTCAATGAAGAATACTCACTAATCGCTACCATCAACAGATGAAGGGTACTGGTATGAAGTCTGAGTAACAAAATAACCAAACTCTGTTAGGCATCTTTATGTATCATACGTCTAAACATTAGGGATCCACTTTTTAGTATTGATACTCATACCAAAGTCAAAGTATACTTCTCACTCATATAGAACCTCACGACACTCGATCTTACTGGGAAAAAAATTGGTGACGAAGTAGCACAACATCTAGCTGGAATTCTACAACACAGCAAAGTATTCAATTTCTATTCTACTCATTTCTACCCCGTTCAATCTAAACGATATATTCCCGTAGACATTAATAACATTGAACCTCACCGATAATGCTATCGGGCACAAAGCAGCTCGATACATAGCGAAAGCTCTACGTGACAACCGAGTAATATACAGCTTGATTACACGACAGGTTCTTCAAATATTTGTTATATCTCTTGCATAGATTCTCACAGATTTGCAACTTTCTAATAATGCCATTGGAGACATAGGAGCTCAATTCTTGGCTGAAGCGATATGCAAGAGTCAGGTAACATTAAATAATCTTCTTACCGTAAACTTTAATAGATCTCTTTAGGGACACGACCAGCTAAACTATTTGCTGGCAAAAATCAGCCCAAACCACGCACGACAGGTTGCTGCAACGCTACAAACAAATCAAGTAGAACCTTTTTTTCATCAGTATTTCAAATCTAGAAACCAACTATTATCTCGGACAGACGTTACAAAAACTGAATCTTTCCAACAATAAGATTAGCCTTTCAGGAGCACAATATCTTGCTGATGCATTAAAAACTAAACAGGTAATATTATTTCAAATGCCATGCATATGCTTCATATATATCTTCGCTCTCGTTTTACATAGACATTGACAACACTGGATCTCTCATGGAATCAGATTGGCGATGCAGGAGCACAATATCTTGCTGGACCATTAAAAACTAATCAGGTAACATTATTTCACATGTTATGCAAATTCTTCATATCTATCTTCACTCTTGTTTCACATAGACATTGGCAACACTGAATCTCTTTAGGAATCAGATTGGCGATGCAGGAGCACAATATCTTGCTGAAGCATTAAAAACTAACCAGGTAACATTATTTCACATGTTATGCAAATTCTTCATATCTATCTTCACTCTTGTTTCACATAGACATTGACAACACTGAATCTCTCTGGGACTCAGATTGACGATGCAGGTGCACAATATCTTGCTGAAGTATTAAAAACTAATCAGGTAACATTATTTCACATGTTATACAAATTCTTCATATCTATCATCACTCTCGTTTCACATAGACATTGACAACACTGGTTCTCTCTGGGAATCAGATTGGCGATGCAGGAGCACAATATCTTGCTGAAGCATTAAAAACTA